TTACATGGTTTTAAATATGAAACAACACTTCTGTTGTCACGTTGTTTTGTTTAACATAAAATAACAAGTAAACATTTTTTCCTGATCTATATTTCATTCAATAATTTTTATTTTAGGGATTATTTAAAGTTAACATCCAGTTTCAGATAAGTATTTATTGACTGACTGATGTGAATATTTTTGTTTTCTCTTTATAAAGAAAAAAAAAACATGACAAGAATGAAGAAGTCAATTATTGCGTTTGGAATTATTATAACGATCATAAATTATCAATAATAAGTTGTCAGGATATATACATAAAAGAAGGAACAAAACTAAATTTTGGTATGACCAAATACAATTATGATAAGCTCAATTATGAACTATTACCAACCAAATGTGAGTTTTATTTCATTAAATAATGTTTGCATTTATTTATTTAATTGTTCTTTTTACTTGCCTATTGAAAACAACTTAAAACTTTAGATTATTATTTTTTAAGCTTTCTGAATGTTTTTCTTGTGCTTCGATAATAGATCAAAGCTGCAACGTTCTGCATTAAATCCCAGCCTCCACCCAGTTTCATTAACTTTATTCTAAGAAATCACATTACTTAGGCGTTGCAGACTGCATTAATGATTTTATCATCGTTTAGGTGAACAACAGTTCCTGCCCGCACTGCTCGTGTCTCATTGCAGCTGTAATATCTGCATATTTTGCTTCAAAGAGGGAAAAAGAGACAAGTGCATTGAAATATTTTTGATTGTTTGAACCTCACACCAGTGTAATTTTGCATTAGTGTGATGCAATTACATCATTTTACATTTTAATATATACAATCACTCTATTAAAATACAATATAACACGGGTCTATGAACAATGCTCTATAAGCAATAAATCAAACCATGACAAAATCACATTATATTTAATCTAATATGAGCTCTACCTTAATAATATAAATGACATCTTTCTCTAATTTAATTGGCACAAGCTTGGTGCATACTGCTAATATAATTCTGAATTTCCATATTTAATGATGCATGCTTTTCATGGTGAATTTTACTTAGAAAAATGTTGCATTTAATGAACCTTATAAAGCCTCTAATAGGCATAATCTAAGAAAATATAACTTCTTTACACAAAAGGTTTTAAGACCAATTTTGCAGAGTGCAATAGTGAAAGTGTGTGAAGTCAAAGGGGAAGCAAACGTATTTATTAGCAAAGGTAGAATGAGCAAGATCGTAATTCTAAACGCAGCAGACTGTTTTTAGGGCTACGTGCTTCATGAATCCTGAGACAAGAAATTTTGTTCGACAAAAAGCTGAAGCTTATAAGGATGAGCAGTTTGGCAAACAGTGTTTTATTTGACAATAATAATAAAATTATGTAATAGTTACATTAATATCATTAGCATATAAAGTAATAATATATTCTACGGTGTTTTTTGTAATGAAGCTTGCAGGTTCTTGTTCAAATTATCCCCCAAAGAATAAAAAAGTGCATCAAGAAATCTGTAACATGGATGTGTTGTGTTCAGGATAAAGATATGATTTCTACAGAAAAGTGTTCAATGAAGTTCTGCACTGGTTGAGTGGACAAATGTGCTCTCCCGGGAAACCGTCTGTGCATTGCGCCTGAATGAAACTTGTGCTGTTACATCTCTTTTCTCCTTTTCCTGTCATATGTTGAAATAAAGCCACATGTGCACATTTGCATCTTGCTTATTACACGTAAAAACATAGAAGCTGATATACATTTGAACAACCTCTGTGTTTCAGTGCTGCTTATCTTGTTGTTAAAACCAAGAATGTGAGACACAAACACTGGACACAAGCTGAGACAAGAATCAGGAGTGAAGAACTCTGCTGTGAAAATTAGAATAAATGGATGTCAATTTCCATGTGGAATTGCTAACCAATGATCCGTTAAGCAGGCCTTTCCACAACAAACAGAGAAAACAGCCTGAATTAGAAGTGTGTGACATTTTAGTTAATTGCACTAACTATGTCAGCTATCATGGCTTCAAACAAGATCCTCTGCTTCTATCGAGGGTTAAAGGAACTCCTTCATGAGAAACACTGAACAGAAATTACATTTGATATTAATCAACGTTGTACCTACAAGAGCAAATAAGTAATTGTTTGCATAACTCAAGGTAATTCTTTATTCTAAATTAAGTATTGGGGTGTAAGAGTACATATTTAGTAAATCATGGTTTTGTATGTACTTTGGTTTTATGGTCATAGTTCAGTTTGCGTACACTTTTAACAAGAAATAACCCAAAACAGAGACAGAAAAACAAACACTTATTAGTGGGAAGCCTTTAAGTTAGCAGGTGGTGGACAGTAACCACGATTTACCAGTTTGCCAAATTTTGTAAATGTTATATTGCATTGCATGATTCATCCAGCTTGAACTGTAAACTGTTTCCTACAGGTCGTGTCAAAAACATCCATCATCTTTACCCGATTTTTTGTTTTTGAGTCACGGGGGTCACTGGTGCCCATATCCAGCAGTCACTGTGAGAGAGGCAGGGGACACTCTGGACAGGTCTCCAGCCCATCACAGGGACACATACTGTAGAGACAAATGAGACAAACAACCATTCACTCTCTCACTCACACCTAGAGACAATTTAGAGTTACCAATCAGACTAAAGCCCTATTCGCATGGGATTAGTTTTACCTAGGGACCACATGCTATTTGTAATAATTATGGACATTGTCTGTGTTGTTAATCCCGTGGAAATCAGCCATGTCAGTAATTTGTAAAGTAAAAATTCCCCCACAAATTACCTACTATATTTTGCTGAACTCCGAGGTCCTGTGATAATACTAATCCATTGTGAATAGGCATCTCTGTGATTTGGACAGAAATGCGCAGGATACATCCGATATGAAATTAGGCGTTTTTTTGTTTTTGTTTAAGCAAAATAATTTGGGAAAAATATAGAACAAGGCTATTTTACATGAACACGCTGCTCGCTTCGGCCTTTTTTAAATGTTTTTATTTTTCGCTTTGGCTATGGTGCGACTTCCTTCACCGCAGAGGACAGCAGGTGCGGTGATGCGCATGTGATCAACTGACCCAGCCATTATATTTACCTGCTTCTTCCTTTTCGTGTAGCAGGAGTCGCTGGTGCCCATGTCCAGCCATCACTGTGCAAGAGGTGGGGGACACCCTGGACAGGTCGCAAGTCCATTTCAACCGGCGGGTCAGCGGACGCTCATGCGCGTGACCGGTGACAGCTGAGCTTAGCGTGGCTTTTTTAAACCTCTTAACATCAATTGTGTTAATCAACAAGTAGATTAACACAATTTTATATTGTGCATTCTTTAGTTTTCTTTAGTGCTGATTCATAAAACCACATCAAAGCCTGAGACCGGCCCGGTCGTAACAACGCAGCACGTTAACATCATAACCGGAAGATGTCTGTAAAGCCCAGCTGAATCTCAGGCTTTGGTTATCCCGCGCGAATGCGCCACATAAAAAACAGACTTTGGGGAGTAATTTTATTTATTACACGTGGTCCTTGGGTAAAACTAATCCCGTGTGAATAGGGCTAAACATGCATGTTTTTGGTCTGTGGGAGGAAACCAAAGGACCCGGAGAAAACCCACACATGCATGGAGAGAACATGCAAAGTCCACCCAGAATGGTCCCAGTGACCTTCTCGCTGAGAGGCAGCTCTTCTACCAACTGCACCACCGTGACAAAAACAAGGTTTGACAAACTCCAAAACTGGCCTTTAATGACACCCTTCGATGTCTCAGCAGTTGTTTTAGGTGATGGAAGGCAGTTAAAAACACAAACTACCTTTTATCAACTCTTGCTGGTTCTCATTCTCTCTCTTCTGCTGCCACAGATAAAAAGGACTCAGAAACTTTTTTTAAACACTGATTTAAAACAAAACTCCTGTTTTACTTCTGTGTCTTGCTTTTATTGATGTTGAGAGATTTAGATCTTCCATTGCCCATTTCCTGTTACAGAATGAACACATTATTTTCCAGAAAATTGTGGCAATCATCTTTAAATTATCATATATTTATTTTCTGATTGCATGCACTTAGTGCAGATGTCTGTATGTGAGGGTTCAATTTAGAAAAGCCGATTTATTTTTAAAAGCACAAAATGTCAAAAAACGATTGCAATACTGAATAAAATAAAACATCTCCTAAATAAGAACTCACTTTACATGTTATACTGTTGTGTCATACTTCCATACATTAATTATTGTGTTGAGATCTGGGGAAACTCGTATAAAACCAACACAAAACCGGTCTACATGCTCCAGAATTAAAAGTGTGTCTGAATATTTTCATCCAAACAATGATACATTTCTTATATTGCATATTTTTAAATTGTATGACTTAGTAAGATCAGAACAGTACTGATTATGTATAAAGCCTATAATAAACTCCTTCCAAGGTGTATACAAATGTGGTTCAAAGTTAAAGAGAAAAACTATGATTTTTTAAAAATAATAATATGATTTAAAAGCGAAGGATTTATTTTAAAAAAAAAACAAAGATTAGGACAAATATTCAAAACAACTCAGTTAAAAGGATTCAGGTGTGGAATAGTTGTTGTAAGGAGTTTCAACTGTGTTTTCACTCTTTAAATAAAAAAAAAAGTATAAAAATAATTTGCTAAACAAATAAAAAGGTTTGATTGGTTTGTTTTTCCTTTTTTTTATGAGTTTTTCTATTGATTTAGCCAGAATATATTGATATGTTGTAGAAAATTATATAGGAAAAAAATCTGCTGCTTCTATTTTGATGTTTTATGTAGAACAAAGTGAAGATATAATTTGTACTTCTACCTACACTTTGTTCACTCTACACTTTGTGTTCTTAATTTTTACGAAACACAATAAAGTTGAGTTTCAACAGATTTGAATTCACGTACATGCACCTCTAAAGTTATTTGCAGGCTGTTTAAATTGCATTAAAAGACAATGAAGCAAACTGGACAAATAAATAAAAAAACAAGTAGCAATTAGACAACAACACACCCCGGTGTCATGAAAGCAAAAAGTTTTATTCATGTTTAAAATTACACAACTACCACAAGGAAGACTTCTGTCCAGGGTGTAGTCTGGTTAGAAAGCAACACTAAACATCTTTAATACATTAGAATCACTGCCACAAATCATTTCGTCATGACGTTTTCAGTTTCAGAGTCACATACAAGAGAAAATAAAGGAGAGAAAAGAAGACTTGAACCCTGTTGGACAGAGCTGGAAATGTACAGTTCTGAATACTGAAACCTCTATGCATTACAGTTTTATAGGGATTTTTTTTTCTTTTTTTTTGAATGATTTCGTAACAAGATGAGCAACATTCAAAATGTTTCTTTTTTTTTTTCTTCTTCATTATGTACAACAGTTTTACTGTTTGGTGTTCATTTAATCCACATTAGTCACCGCACCCCCTCATAAAAGCCACAACGTATTCTTCCCCCTCCTCTCTCCTCTTTTCACTGTATTAATATTATTTTTGTTTTAGTTTTTTTTTTTCCTTTTATGTTGCAACAGAGCAACAGCATTTTATTAAAAGATTAAAATATACATTAGATTACATAGAGAATGAAGAGTTCCCACTGTTCCGGGATGCATTTAAAAAAAATTAAACATTAAAAATGGGCCAGAAAGAATGAAAGAATGGTTGTTGTATTGTTTAGAGGTAGTAAGTGAGCACTACAGAAATGTTGGACATGTTTTTTTTGTGAATGAGGTTAAAAAAAAACAGCTGCGTATTGATTAGCGGGATCTTAAGCTATATTACAACTTTTCCTGTTGGGTTATGGGGAGATGGACTCCTGTGTGCCGTGACAAAATGATCTACTGTTGGGAGATTTGTTGATTTGTTAAGCAGTACAAAAGAAATGTTTACATATGTACAAACAAAGCAACAAATGATAAAATATGGAATGGTGTCATGTTGTAGTCAAGCAATCAATTACACGTCTTTATGTTCCACAGTTTGAATAGCCATGTACGCAGCTGAGAGACAAAAACAAAAAATCCTGAAAGGAAATACAAAGCTGCCAGTGAGCTGTCAACATTAGCCTTGTGGAGTTGCCGGACAAGACAAAAAGAAGCTGCTTTAATTAAAAGAAATTAAAGAGAAGTCAATTATCAAAATGGAAAATGGCAATTAAGTCAAATAGGCATTTAAAATGTCACTTTTTTTATGCTGAGCTGAGATAATTATCCTGAAAGTTTACTCTGGAATATTGAAGAGATGTTTATATTTGCACATGTCTATGTTTACCACTACAACAAACAAGTAAAAGCATGTTAATACGCTTGATTTATGAAGACAGAAAGAAAACACTGCGCGATCCGGAAACACTTAGTGTCCATACTGGAGGATGTCGTCTGCACATGTGCTGTGGCCGATGGGAATTTGAAAATACAAGAAAACCAATTTCTTTTTCCTACAAAAAAGGGTATTTTGCTGTTTTTTTGTTTGTTTGTTTTTTTAGCAAAATGAAAAAGTCCATGCTCAACTTGAGGAGACGATGCATTTCTAGCTGATCAGTTCGACGTGTCGGAGTGCACACTTTCCGGTCCTGCTGGAGATATTACAGAAGACGAAGTCGTTGCATCTTGCCATCCTCCATTAGCCTGGCACATAAATAGAGAAAGGCTGGGATTACCATTAGATAAAATGAAACAACGAGCTTAAAAAATTCTGCACGTTCTAAAAATAGAGGGGAGTAAAAAAAAAAAAAGAACAGATTCTGTTTCACCGATGTGTCCACTGATATTAAACTGCTCCGGATCCAATGATGCCATGTGAACGGCACAGATTTTGCATTACAGTGGCATCACCAAGGAGACTCAGAAACAAATTTGTCTCGTGTCCGGACCAATGGGAGCATTCCCTGAAATCAGAGTCTAAGCAGATTTCAGCAGCGACCGACAGCTTGTCGCTACATATTCTCCTGTCAGTCAGGAGGAGGGAGGGCTCGGCCGGCTGAGGTGGGGAGAGCTGAGTGAAAGTGACAAGGCAGGGCCTCTCCAAGAGAGCCAGTCTTAGCCAGCCTGACTACGCTTTGCTCCAGGCGTGACCTAGCCTTTACTGGATCTCTCTACGTCACCACCAACAAAGCTAAAGGTTAGTCTCTGCAAATACATCGAAAATCCGATGGCTGCTTTCTTGCTAAAAAAGAAAAAGGGAAGGGAAGAAAAGCTTCGCCATAAACGTTATTTTTCTACTAGTCTAGTATAATGTTCAGAATATGTAATGTTCCTTTCGTAAAGTGCATGTGTTCAGCAGGGTTAGTGTATCGCCCTGCCGCTGTGCAGCAGTCGGTACAGGTCTGCACTGCACATGGAAGTGAGAAACCTTGTGAGAAAGTGAAAAGCACTTGATCCTGCGAGGAGCTGACATGTCTAAAGAGCTTACAGCAACGAGGCTGCAGCAAAGCCAAAATGACACCAAAAACACTGAACGCTACAAACAACTGCCAGCATTTGTTTGCATAACGCAGGCTAATTTTGTTCACAGATTTTCTGTAGGACGTATAATGTTGTGCATAGGACCAATGTTACTTTGCTGAAGATGGAGTTTCAAGTGTGAATGTGTGGGTTTTACCCAACAGACTCACAGCAACAACGCAAAGAGAGCTGTTGTGATGTTGTGCAGAGAGAAAACTGTCGGCTGCCATTTCTCTCTCGCTCGCTCCCTCACTCTTCATCCTCCCTCATCAAGAAAATTAATCTTTACTCTAATGGCTTCAGATTATGCGTTGCTTTACAAAAAGGTGCCACATCAAACCTCATCAGGAAAGATGGAGCTCGTGTCTGGAAAAGGCTTCGGGCGATCGCTTGTTCGTTCTTTATAATGAAGATAAGTCGGCAGAATATTCTGTGAAGCATTTCAAAACAGCTAAAATGCAGAAAGGTGTGAATGCTGCCGTGACGGGCTCCTTTTATAAATCTTAACGGGGTTTTGACACAAAATGAAGCGCCTCTTATCCGTCATCATAAATTAATATGGGACAAGGAATATTGTCTTTTATTAGATCATAATTTGGAAGACTAAATATGTGCAGTGTTGTAAAAGTACTTATCCGAGTTTTATTAAAGAGCAATAAACTATGAGCATATTTTCATGATGTAAACAGAACTAAAGTAAATGTACTCACATTCAGGCCATGTGGAGTATACATGGTGTTTCCTGCCAGAGCATCATTGTATCCTGCCGTCTGACTGATAACATGGCGCAGGGTATCCACCTAAAGGGACAGACAAGGTGGACAAGCTGGTCAGTTGTTGTCTCACAGCTGTCCGAACTTAATTAGACATGCTCAGAAAAGCCAGAGCGAAATCAAAAACGGAAAAATCACACATAGACTCCTGAGAAAGCAAGTGTGCCACCAACCAGCTAAAGGAACTAATCAAGTCTTAAAACAGAAAATAAATTAAAATCAGTGTTACAAGCATGCTTAGTTCATTTCTGTTCTTCAGTAGTGGTTGACAAACAAAAGATGAAAGCACAAGTAAAAATAAAATAGGACAAATCTCCTGCTTTAATGCAGTTTTTTTAAAGCCTACCATTATCTAAAACAGGCACTTGGTGGCTTGTGTGTGGAGAGTGTAACTCAGCAGCAATAAACGCACAAGATGGAGGACATCGACAACAAACAATACCACGATGAAACAGGAAAGACATCAATACAGTGTGTAGACAAAAAGGCAGGGAGAACGTAGTACCAAAAAAACCAAAACCCAATACCAACCCAAGAGCTCAAGTCAAAGCCAAATGCATTCACAAAAGAACTTTGGAACCAGGAAATTGCTTCCAGGCATGATAGCAGCGGATTATATTTTGGCTGCCAAAATATTCCATCCAAAGCGAAATAGTCAGTAAACACTTCATAGAGCTGATGTTATTGAGGCCTCACTTGGTAATTTGAACTGCCCTCGCATGAGCAGCATGGTCTGCTTTTTCACATCGTTTCTACTTTTGGTTTGACGTGCTTTAGACTGCACTGTGGATGGCTCAGTACACAGGCAAGACAAGGACAGCCCTCTGCAGATGTTCTCACACACTGTCCTTGATTGTTGATCCTACCTGTGACTGTACATTGGCTCCGACTTGTGCCCCTTGGTAAGAATCCCCATTCAGACTCTGCATGCTCAAGAACATGTCCCCAGTGTTTGGGAGGCTAAAAGAACCTGAAGAACCTGGAAAGGGAAGATGTAAGCAGCTAAATACAATGAGAGGGCTATAAAGGGAAAGCACAGACACACGCGCCCACGCACAAAGTAACACAGACACACAGCACATGCGTGTCTGTGAAACCAAAACCAACTCAAGCAGACACAGAAGAATAACTCCCACAGAGCAAGCAACTACAAGGGTAAAGGAAAGGAAGCAAGGAGCCAAACAGAGGAGGTATTTATGCAGGGGTACTAAAAATCTATCAATGAACGAGGCGAACACAATGAAATGAGAATCACATGACACACAGGGACCGGGTTCTACATGTGGTTGGTCGCTTAAGCTCCCAACTGTTCCACATCACCTACTTCCAGTCTAAAGCTGACAGGGAAGCATCATAATGGTAAATGACAAAGACAATAAGAAGCTTATGAAAAGACCAGTACCAGTAAACATGTTGCTTAATAGAGTGTTTTTGCTCTCTGCAGAATCCAGCTGAAACTCTTCATCTTTCATCTGGAATCCTGGGTGCAAGAGAAAGGGACCACTGCATAAGCTTACCACATCCCGACGCAGGTCAACCAAATCCAATCTCAGCTAAACAATTAAACTGGACTAAACATGACCTTTTAGGCTCCATGTTTATTAATATTAAATATGAGCTGCACATAAACCCATTTTGATATTGCTCTAGAAATGTTCCAGGCAATTATGTTTCGCTTTGTTTTGAGAAGAAAATCTCTACCGTTCAGTGGGACTACATACCATTATCTTACAAATGACAGGAAGCTGACAGAAAGTCAAGCAAAACAAATCCCATGGCATCATTTTAAATTCTTTCTCTCTCTTTTTTTTATTTTCCCAAAAATACATGTGTTCTCGGTTCACAAGTCAGGAACGCTGTCTTTATGCATGAGTTTGCTTGGCATCAACTGTCTTATAGACAGGAGACACTGTGATCCCCAAGCTGGGAGCAGAGCTTGTCACTCTTGCCAGTGTGAATGGTGCATCAAAGAGTGAGGCAAGAAGGCAGCAGGTTAAGGACTGAGACTGAGGGCAGATCTTTATATGTTTTCCATCTATATGCAGGAGTGCCTACCGGAGTTGGGAGTGGTAGGGGAGTTGGCCTGGCTGTTCTGCACTGCAGCCGCTGCAGCATGCGCTGCATTTACAGCTGTCTTGGCGGCGTACAGGTTGGCTTCTTCTTGAAACTTGCCGATGTTTTTCTTGTACCGGATCCTTTTGTTGCCAAACCAGTTGGATACCTGCGTGGGAGAGCACAGGGAGGAGGAGCAGAGGAGTCAGACGTCAAGCAGCCACAGCACCGTGCACTGAGCAGTATGATTGTTTCAAGATGTCATGTTTGGGTCCATCAAGTACCCAATTCCCAGCCTCTACAGTAATGTCCGCCGGGTACACAAGCTAATTAAGCCATAATCAGGAGCCACTTGTGTCTTCTCATGGATGGGAGCATGACATGCTCTCACATCTGTCTCCTGACAGGACTAAAACACAAGAGGCTTCTATTGCACAGGCATTAAAGTCAATGTAATACATTCTCGGCATCAAGACTCTCTGCTAGCTTTCAACATTGTCATATTCCATGGTGATAAAATAAACACTCGTATTTTTATCTTTTAAAGAACATTTGTCAATTTAGAATCAAGACTGACATCATATGCAAATACAATACTTTAAGTCATTAAATGTACTGTAATGAAGCAAAGTAGCAACTACAGCTGCAAACTCTGTACAGTGGTGCTTAAATGTTTGTGAAGTCTTTATAAGTTTCTATGTTTCTGGGTAAATCTGACCTAAAACATCATCAGATTTTCACACAAGTCCTAAAAGTAGATAAAGAGAACTCAGTTAAACAAATGAAACAAAAATGTATTTGATCATTTATTTATTGAGGAAAATGATCCAATATTACATATTAGTATGTGTCAAAAGTATGTGAACCTTTGCTTTGTGTATCTGGTGTGACCCTCCCCTCCAACTAAACATTTCCAGTAACTGTTGATGAATCCTGCTCACCAGCTTGGAGGAGTTTTATTCCTCCGTACAGAACAGCTTCAAATCTGGGATGTTAGTGGTTTCCTCACATTAACTGCTGCTTCAGGTCCTTCCACAACATCTGGATTGAATTAAGGTCAGGACTTTGACTTGGCTGTTCCAAAACATGAACTTTTTTCTTCTTGAACCATTCTTTGGTAGAACCACCTGTGTACTCAGGGTCATTGTCTTACTGCATGACCCACCTTCTCTTGAGATTCAGTTCATGGACAGATGTTCTGACATTTTCCTTTAGAATTATCTGATATAATTCCAAATTCATTGTTCCATCAATGACGGCAAGCTGTCCAGGCCCAGATGCAGCAAAACAGGCCCAAACCATGAAACTACCACCACCGTGTTTCACAGGTGGAATAAAGGTTCTTATGCATGAATGCCGAGTTTTACTTTCTCCAAACATAACTCTTTTCATTTAAACCAAAAAGTTTTATTTTGGTCTCATCCGTCCACAAAACATTCTTCCAACAGTTTTCTGGCTTATCTACGTGATCTTTAACAAACTGCAGACGAGCAACAATGTTCGTGCTGGACAGCATTGACTTCCTCCTTCAACTCTATCATGCACACCATTGTTGTTCAGTGTTCTCCTCATGGTGGACTCATGAACGTTAACATCAGTCAATGTGAGAGAGATCTTCAGTTGTTGGAAGTTACTCTGGGGTCCTTTGTGACCTCGCCGACTATCCCACGCCTTGCTCTAGTAGTGATCTTTGTTGGTCCACCACTCCTGGGGAGGGTAACAATGGTCTTAAACTTCCTCCATTTGTACACAATCTGTCTGACTGTGGATTGGTGGAGTCCAAACTCTTTAGAGGTGGTTTTGTAACCTTTTCCAGCCTGATGAGCATCAACAAGTCTTTTCTCAGTTCCTCAGAAATATCCTTTTTTGTGCCATGATCCACTTCCACAGACATGTTGTGAACAGTAGACTTTGATAGATCCTGTTCTTTAAATCAAACAGGGTGTCCACTCACACCTGATCATCATCCCATTGATTGAAAACACCTGACTCTAATTTCACCTTCAAATGAACTGCTAATCCTAGAGTTTCACATACCACTCATAAATATGTAATATTGGATCATTTTCTTCAATAAATAAACGACCAAGTATAATATTTTTTGTCTCATTTGTTTAACTGGGTTCTCTTTATCTTTTTTTTAGGACTTGTGTGAAAATCTGATGATATTTAGGTCAGATTTGTGCAGAAATTTAGAAAATGATAAAGGCTTCACAAACTTTCACACTCCACTGTAATCTCTGTAAAGCAGCAGGCCAAATTGGAACACTGTGAAAAAATGGGTAATTGTTCCTAAATGTAACTATGAGTGTGTGCATGTGTGTGTGTGCACGTGCATGATTCAGGTGAGAGTGTTTCTGTTTATTCTTTAAAAACAAGTGTTAGAAAGTAAAACCTGCAGCATGAAGCAGTAAAAGATTATTTGGTGTGTGTGACGTGTCAGAGAAATCTAGATACACTGACCAGACAAAATACAAAGTTACAGACTCAAAAACATCTTTGTCATCATTGCTGTTAACTCCCTCTCTGAACCACTTCTTATTATTTTTTATTTTTTTAACAATTCAAGGCTGATAAATCTCAGGGGATCGGGGCTGTCTAAGGACTAAGAAGCTAATTTGTTTTATTTATTTATTCTGTGCACTGTTTAGGATTAAATAACTTGTTGCAATCAGAAATATAAAACTCAGTGCAGGATTTTACTTTTTTAATTCAGTTAAGTCCAGTTTATTTTATTTTATTTTATTTTTTAACCAGGCAATGTACATTTTACTGATGTAACATAGAACTCTGAAGGCACAGGGGAAAAAAATATTAGGATAAATTGGGCCTTGAAAAGGTGAGTACAGTCAAATACAGTTCAGATTTGGAAGTTTATTTTATTGAAATGATGTCACCTACTGTTTCAGACCGAAAAGCCGTGTAAGGAGTAAACCTTACGTATGAATGCTGGCTCTGCAATAACAGTGGAATAATAATGAGATGATGCTTGTTTTAATGGCCCTATAAATTAGAGTGTCTTGTCGCGGCGTTGCAACCAACCACCCCCATCTCAGGCCCTGCAGCCCACGGCTGGACCAGCCAAAGAGCAGCTGCCCCTAATGACGCTTTATTTAATTTCCACCCATGTGCTTAAATTTTAATATCCCTTGCAGCCCGCCAATGTTGTGGTGTAAAAACTGACTGGATTCACAGGACATCAGATCATTTCTATCCTGCACGTCTGTGTGCTCTAAATCTTTAATATCTAGGCAATTAAAATTAATGACCATTCAGGCGAGGCCCACTGTTGGCAGGGTTTCCTTGACATCAATTGTTTGATGGGTTTACCTAGAGGTTAAACTAACAAGCAAGGTTTAATTGGAAGCAATGAAAGCCCTGGCCATCATCCTTTTTACTTAACCTGCTTATAGTGGATTGTAGGGCTAAACATGGTGCAATGTTCTCGTTCATTTAGACAGCTCACGTTGTGCCCACAAACCCCTTCAAAATATCTTGGAAACGCTCTAATGCTTATGAGTTTGTTTAATTTAACAAAATGTTCATACAAACAGTGTAATAAACTGATCTACATTTATTAACTATCCCGTTGTAGCTGAACTGCCCCACTACATATTATTGCTTTTAGCAGCCTGTTGTGAAATTATTGAGTAAAATGTAAAAAAAAAATCACCTACTTCTAATCAACACCCACATAATATACCTAATATAAACATTTTTTAACATTTTATTGTAGTTCATATTGATTAAATGTGTTTCGATCCTGAGTAAATCCAGCACTGTTGGTTAATTTGACATTTTTAAAAACACTTTTTTTTTCTGTCCTGCACACAGAACTAGGGTTTCAGAGATTCTTATGTTCTCAGCGACAAAATAAAAGTCTGAGATGATAATATTTATTTGAGGAATGCTAACCTGGGCAGCCTCAAAGCTTTACTTAGGATCTCAAAATTGTTTTTTACTTTAGGCAATTAAAAATGTTTGAGCAGTGTTTTGACAGAGGGGTCCACTTCTCTGCAAAATACAAAAATAAACCATACATTTTCTTCAAAAAACATAACTTTCTGTGCACTGTAGTAATATTTCATTATCAAAATATTGAGAAGCATCACTCAGAAAAACACATTCATTTCAACCTTGACAGTGTGCATTTATCTTCTGACTGAGAACTGGTTTAAGGATGAAAATCAAATTTTAGTTACAAATATATTAAATGATGCCACTGAGGCAACTGACAAAAAACAAAACCATCTAATGGGATGTTTTAATTGCTACGTGCTTGCAGAGTGACAGAGGGTTCTGTAATTACAGACCCGTTCAGGAGATGTCACGTCTGGACTGAACAAGTTGTGTGCTGTAAAAAATGTCGGATTCATTTATTAAATCAGGAGCATTAAACCGTCAGACGGTGATAAGATGAATTCTGAATTTTGTTTAAGTTTTTGACTGCCGCACTGTAGGTGCAAAAACAATAATTAAAATAGTTCAAGGCTGCATTTGAACTGCAGCAATCTCGATTTTTCTTTTGATAGGATGTCTGTGCCCCACATGCATTTCAAATACTCTCTGCAAAGACGATGCAGGCTATTTCATCAGCAATGACGCATCGAGCAAAGCCGCAGAGCAATATTGGCAGACCGGGCACAACGAATGGTGTTTACTTAATGAACTACAAGTGCAATCAACAACGCAGCACACAAAAAGTTGGGAGGAGTTTGAAAAATGATTTCGCTAAACTCTTAGTGCAACAGCACTGAGACATTTGTGACTAAAAGTTCAGGCCGCTGTAAGTGATGACATGTGCACCTGAGCCTCCGACTGTGTCACTCAGGTAAAATGAGCCAGGTGAGGCAATAAGAAAGTCCACTTTTCAAAGGAGTACGCCACAAAACAGTCCTGAGATACATGTTAGTACTTTTCTAAAGTTCTCTTATTTTCACTTATTCAGGAAAAGAGCAGCTGGTTTTATGTGAGACAGAAAAAAAAAATCTAAAATACAGCTCGACTTGTGGGCGGGTCATTTTGTTCTAAGGTGTAAACATCATAATCATCACAAAATGAAATATAATAATAATGATAATGATAATGATGATACTAATAATAATAATAATAATGAGAAAATGAAGAAAAATAAGAAATGAGAGGGGAAGGAGCAAAGGAGGAAAAAAGTAAAAGAAACAAAGAAAAAGGAAAGAGATGAGAAAAAAGAGAAGAAAAAGAACAAAACGAAGGAAGAAAGAAAGGAAAATCAGCAAAGACACAAACAATAAGTAGGAGGAAGAAAGGGAAAAGAAAAAAGGGAAAAGGAAAGAGGAAGACAAAGGAAAGAAGCAGAAGGTGTTGAAGGAATTGGAGGCAAAAAGAAGAATAAAGAGGAAGTAGATGAAGCAGAAGAAAATATTAGGAAAAGATTAAAGCATAATTTAAAAGAAATAAATGTAAGATAAAAAAGTCAAAGATAAAGGAAGAATTGTGACATTTCAACACATAACATGGTGATAATATGGGTGTGGTGTAAATTGAAGAAACCATCAAACAGGCTCTGTGGTGTTGTGACTCACAGGTTGGTGGTGAATACAGAATCTTATCATCCACTCTTCAAAAATACATTCAAAAATCTAATTTTTGTTTGGTTCTAACATTAGCATTGATGCGGTAGGTGTGAGGGAGGGGGTAGGGGGGTTCTGTGCAGTGGAAAACTGTAAGCCTGTTACACACATAAACAAAGGAGGTTGAAAGAAAATGAAAACAGTGGATCAGGAGAGGTTATGACATACCTGTGACACTGTGATGGTGCTTCCCACCCCCTGAAGGCAAAAAAGAATGGGCTTTTACAGTATCTGACTCTTCATGACTACACTCCATATACCCCTCATCACCCCCTCCCCCACACAGACAAAAACACTGCAGATAATTGTATAGATTCATGTTTCTGTGACACTGCGTCTCACGAGGACATCCATAGAACAACAAAAGGATAAAAATCTTTATGGTAGTCACAATCAAGGCAGAGAGCAAGAGAGAAAGACATTGAGCGAGTACAGGGTAATAATACTTTGGATGTGGGGGTTAGGTGTGAGAGATATTGCCTTCAGGTTTACCTAAAGACGAGCTTGTAATATATAGGAAGTGGGAAAGTCTCATCTTTAAGTGGAAAATATAACAGGGCATTAAAAGCATCCTGCTAGGCCAATTTAAGAGAAAACATATAATACCCGATATCAACCGATGATTTGAAGCACCAGCCTTTAAATGCTTTTCTTAAAGTAATGGATGATGCTATTTTTATCTCCCCCAGCTTATGACCTGAACATCAGACCGGGCATCAGAGACAGTACCCGTATGGTGGATGGGAATGAGAGGCGGGGTGGGGGAAATGTCAGGGGAGCCAGCGTAAGGAAGGACAGCAAAGTGCCATGATTGAGGCTAAGATGATATAGGCCTCCTCTTCCCTGTGGCCCTGCTCTGACTGACTGGGACCAGCCTTGACTGAAGCATCATTAGGCAGTCACAATGTCAAGGTTAGCAGAGGACATTGTGTCTTGGCGATGTGACCTACTGTAACGATCCCTCCAGGCCTCCCCACCTTGATTCCCATCTACTGTTAGATGAGCGCTACCCACCTGGGAAACGGTGATGCTGCATTTCTTGGCCAGCTCCTCCTTAGCCTCCTCGCTCGGGTACGGGTTGCTCAGGTGCGAGTAGAAATATTCATTCAAAATTTCTGTCGCCTGCTTGCTGAAGTTTCTCCTTTTTCGCCTGAGTGGAGAGGAGAGACAGGCCGAGTGAGCCCATTAGAGAGACCAGCATTAATGCTCGCGTTTGGACTGCACGATCAATCTCACACATAAATGGTAAAAATAATGAGGAATTGGTTCTGAGCAGAATATCATGTCCTAGACCACAGAGAGAGGACAAAACTCTAACCAATAAACACAGTCTCAAAACACATACAATGTTTAATTTGGTCTGTTGGTCTCCAATCCCCAGTCCAAGCGTGTAATGTGCACAGTTTAGTGCAGCGGATGGGTGGGCTTCGTGATGGAGCGCAAAGCCCAGTCGGAGTGCATCTCGGTACATTATAGAAATCACGGCATGCACAGTTGAACATTGTTCCTGAAGTGCCACAGCCCCGGGTTCTCCAGCAGAAACAAGGAAACTCTAACTAGGTCTGGGTCCCCTTGCCTCCCAAGGGCACTACTTATCATGTTGTTGAGCATTTGCTTATTTCGCCTTGTTTGCTGTGCTTCTCACAGGCGACGGGCAGCAAATGTGCTTCCACTTGGCTTGTTTGGCCACAACTTGTGCAGAGCTCCGCGTCGCATCATACTGTTAGTGATTAGAGTAATCCACAACACCTGCCGATGACCTTCCCTCCATCCATTACACATGACTCGGTCCCCATTTCATTTGGTCTTAACTGCTCTCAGGTGTGAGCGCATGATTGTCTTGAAAATGGATAATGCATGGAACACGGACGTAATTAAATTCATGCATCTCTGCTGTGCTCATACTGTGTGCTGTGCTACAAATGGGAGAGTAACTTGAGACCAGCAGAAAGTCTAACCCCCCATCTGCCCACTGGGTTTGCTTATGTGGGTCATACAGAAGGAATGGAAGTTTGTGAATACCTAAAACACACACACACATACACATTGAATGAAGCGCACACACTGACCTGGCATCAAGGAATCTGGAGCGCAGGATCATGACAGCCTCGCAGGTGCTTTGCTTCAGTTGCATCTGGATGGAGCTGAATTTACGGTGGATTATTCCCACCATGCGCTCGATCTCTTTGGGTGAGATGGGTCGCGTGCGAGATTGTTCCCTCAGCAGGTTCATCACATGGGTAGTGAACTCGTTACACGCCTGAAAAGAAACAGAGGGGCACAAACAACCAGCGTGAGCTGCCTCTGATCTCTGCCAAGTTTAAGGAACTTTAAAACGCTTGCTGATTGATTTTCCAAAAGTCATTTTCATTTTTTCATTCATCAAATGAAGCATTTACATGCACAAATTCAAAGCTCTAACACAGTGCCTTGGTCTCATGTGACGCCGATGACATAATTGATGAAGTCATCTTTACACAAATGCAGATTTGCAATTTTGCTCGGCCATAATGCACAGAGAAAATAAAAAGTGTTCCGTTAAACCACTAGTTCATGCGTGATTAATTACAATAACTCATTTACGTAGTGCACACTTTAGCTCATTACTCTGAGTAAAATTCGTTAAGTATTTACATTTAGATAATTAAAACAGGGAAACACCCTTAAGAAAGATGCATTTACTCCAGGCAAAGAGTTGCGTTGCCCCCTGTGCCTCCTCTCGGAAAGCACAAAGTAAATTAGTCTCATTTAGTGCACTGGCTTGCTGAGGCATCACCGTTACACCTTTTTTATTTTCACCCATAATGCCTCGGTGTTTGATGGCAGGCTCAAAGTGCTAGGTGAAGGAGCTGATCATACTTTCATTTAACACCGATGACAAGCGCAGTGCGCTGGATCTCTGTAACCATCTACACAGTAAGTAATACTGGGGTTTATTTTCCAAGCCATTCTCTCCCATCATATTAACTGGAATGCTCTCTGCAGTGCATAATCTGCTCCGAGTGATGCAATCCGAACGACGGAGTATAACTTAACAGGCACATGTGGAAGTCACAAGGACATGTGAAACTTTCAGTTGTAAATAAAAAAGATACAAGGCATTGTTTTGTTTTGTTTTCTTCATGAGCAGAAAAGTACAGCAAGATTTCAAGTTAAAGCTCAGTTCTGAAGCAGTGTTGGGGATTCGTTCTTACCTGTTCGTATTTCTCCAGCTCTGTGTGATAGATCTGTCTGATCTGTGTGAGTTTGGCTCTGTAGTCAGAATGTTCGATGGAGTTGTCGGCCGCACCGCCCGAGGCCGCAGCAGCAGCCGCAGCAGCAGCGGATCCACCACCTTTCTCCGGTCCTGCCACTCCTTCTGCCAGCAGCATGTTGTCTAAACGCATAAGCTGGGGGTCTGGAGGGTCCTCCTCTTGAGCGCCACGGATGCTGAGACCTGCAGTAGCACATAAAGGAGAGCCCAGTTTCAGAAAATGTCAGGCAGAGACGTGCTAAAGCTACAAAACAGTCATACTGAATGCAAATTGGCTGCTTCCGTTCACGCCAAAGTTTTAATCAAAGATCTTGAGTGATCTGTTTGTGCTTGGAGTACATGATGAAGACAACCCTGGGCTATGAAAAAAATCAAATTATAAGCCAATGTCTGTATAATTAACTGAGTTATAGCAATGTTAGTGTTTGCTATGATTGATTATCTGAAGCATCCAACTTGAATAGGGTTAACTCCTAAAGACAATCAGTTGTAGATGTACATTGGATAATCAATGGCTGAGCATTTTATCATGATCCATCCACTGCTTCAAGAAATATTTTGCTAACAAATTGACAATTCCATTATTTCACATATTCCATGGGTGCAGTTGATAAAATCATTGAGATACAACACAATTTAAAACAGTTAAGTGTTTGCCCGGCCTGCCATACTGTGATTCCTCCCTTGCAGGTATGAACTGAGTGCCTCCTGTGTATGTGTTGTGTTCCTGTCGCCTGCATCTATGTCTGTTCCCTTTTATTTACACACTGTGCTGCACAGTGTGTGTACAGGAAAGCTGACATGACAGCAACATCCATAAACTGACAAATGCTCAATAGTGAAGTGGCACTTCTACTCTGTGAATGGATGCTAAACAGGAAGCTCTACCTACAGTAAGTGTCTCTGTCTTTCACACACTGAAGGTTGAAAGCTCCACAAGTTTTCCTTATTTTAATTTGCTCATAATTTTAATCCCATATACATTTATAATCCAAAACTGTGCTGTGAAAAAAAAAACAATCTGTATTTAATGTGCTAAATCAATTCTTCGCAAATTGCTTATTCGTGAAACTTGTTTTTTTGTTTGTTTGTTTGTTTGCAGATCTCGCTGTGTGTCTCCTCTGGTTCTCTGTCAACACGTTGTAATCACCCAGCAGGTAGCGTCCACTCACACCTGGATGCTCTGGCACTGCAACCACAACGCCAGGCTTTTCCAAACAGAAAAACACTGCAGGTCAATTTTACAGAAAAATAAAATAAAAATAAAAAAACGGAAAACACAAGCGTGAGCAATCCAGACTTGTAAGTGGGTAAAAATGTGGCTCAATGGGCAGTAAATACTGAGTGGCTACTCGAATGTTATGATTACCAGAGTTGTTACAATTCAATAATCCCTCCCGCAATTCAGGGATTTTCAGCAGCTAATTACAGCTTCATTAAGATATGGCCAGCCACTGAATTCTAAATAAGAAGATTAGTGGCTCTATTGTGTCAGCCAGTAGGCGTGCAATCAGAGAAGCCCCTCTTCCCATGTTTTGACCGAGTGACCCTGCTCACCATCCGCACGAGTAAATACTAAAAGGAAAATAACTCTAGTCCTCTTTGTGTCTTCTCCATAAAAACAGTTCTGTGTTTAAAAAATACAAACCTAGGCAACATATTGTGTCTGTGTCTCTGGCGTTTTCATCTCAGTTGGTGTTTTGTTCGACCGCAGTGCCAGCGAAAAACAAATTTGCCTCTATTTATGGATCGTCTGGCTTTGAGTCTTTTAGGTGTAATGGTGTGAGAGGAGTGGATGAATGTGGCTATTTGTGCTGGAGACATTGAGATGCTGGACAGGGCTCCATCAGGCTTGCAGAGCCAAGCCATCCAAGTGGACAATATGCCACTGCTCCACTAACCCTCGCTCACATCACACCAAAACTCGCACGACTTCCACCCAAATCTGCCGCTTTGGAGAGACTCCACCGCTTTCTGCTGCCCGTTTGAACGGCATGGAACAAAATGGCACGCGACTGAAACGTTGATTGACCAGATGTCTGGCTCCACAGCTCAACGTGCTCTAATAGCTGGTGGTTTATCTGCCACAACAGTTCATATTTTCCTAATTTGCTATTTACTCCCACCTATCTGGTTCAACACAAGCTCAGCAGGCCTTGCTTTCTTTTGTGCTGCGGGTGGCGGTAAGTAGGTAGGCACGTTTTTCATGTCAGGTATATTAAATATAACTATGGGACGCGGCGCAGATTTCCACACCAAACCCAGTTGTCACTTTCACTCCACTCACTCTATATCCAGGGGAAATGCAGTTGAGGGAATTTACAGGGTTTTTCAGCTAAATGGGCATAAATCACTGCTTTCATTCAAACTAAATAATCACAGACCATAAAGAGCTCCTTGTCTCTTACCATATATTACCACAAAGTTGGTGCAATATTGTGGCCATTCGCAGCAAAAGAAGGCAGAGCGGGACATTAGAAAGTGACACGTAATCCTGTTAGCTCTCTGACATGTGGAGTAGCCATGACATTTTTATCATACGTGTCCATTTCTATTTGGGAAATCAGCAGGATAAAAATGATTACTCTGCTGCTCCGAGAAGCAGACGGCCCTGCAGGAGTCCACCAGGGTGTGTTTGTGCCACAGCAGCTCAAACTGGTCATTCATAACCCGTGTTGGGAGGGTTGGTATACATCTGTCTCCAACACACACACACAAAAATAAAAAAAATAGGAAGAATAAGAAGTCTTATCTCCATCTCACTGTCTCTTTCCACACACCTTTGTTACAGGAGCTAAAGATTTGGGATCCACTGCTTAAGCTTAGCACCATCACAGAACTTCCACAATATAACCCGGAGCGAGATAATATCTTTAATTTGCTGTGGTTGACAAATCTGTATCATAATTCTACCACCACATTCTAATGCTGTGTTGATGCTTCTCCTGCTCAAACCTTTATCCTGTTTTTGTCTGATGATATGGGTATTAAAACAAGTTTGGGCATCTGACTTTAGCTCTAATCCACCTCCACAGTCAAAGTGGGATTAATCTCGGTGCAAAGGGAGCGCGCTAGAGTCGTGTCACCTTGGTAAAGCCTGCAAGCAATGGGAACTTAAAAGTGAAAAATCTACGCTTGTTCCAGTTATTTTACTATGACCTGATGATGATGATGATGATGGTGGTGGTGGTGGCTCAGGTAATTAAGAGAGCATTTAATGATGTAAAAGAAAGAAAAGAGAAAATCAGAAATTATATTAATAATAGTGCCACATGTCCTTAATCGGCCTCATTTGTCACTCAACAATACAGGTGGTGTCACTGGGAAAAAAATCACATGCATATATGATTGTCCCTCATTTTTCTTCTGCGGCTGAGACAAAAGGAGACACTGTGATTAATTCACGACTATCACTCTGAGGCGGGACCTCTTTTAACGTTTTACAGGTCTTGCTACTGCTATCTGATCCGAGGAAGGAGTAAATTTAACAGATAAAGACAATGCAGCTCTTTCCTTTTATATACTCCCCCCTGTGCTCTGTTTATAATCATTTCCGGTTCAAGGCTGTTGTCTCGTACATCATCCCCTGCTTGAAACGCTGACAGTGATCTGAGCACTGCCTCAGGCCGCTCCTCTTTCCTCCCACCTCTTTTTCCCCCCCTTGTGCCCTCTTTTATTCTGTAGGCTTAGCTGACCTTTGCCCCGCTGCTTGTTTACTTTCATCACTGAAGTGTGAGCAGGAGAGCCATAAAGGCAGAGCCCTGCTGGGTTAATGTGGCTTGCTGACGAGGAAAGGTGTTCCTCTGGGCTTCTCCATCTCATCCTCCTGCACTGACTGCACTGTCAAGCAACAGGACAATTTGCTGAAAAGAAAGGCTGCAGATAAAGCGAGACATAAACTAGTAACACTTTATTTTCTACAACTTCATGTAATTCTGTGTGATTGTGCCAGTGTTTTCTGTGTTTAACATTGTGACACTTTTGTTCCACACAGCTGTTTCTAAATCAGCCTGTTGATTACAAATAACCCTGACCTCCTGTAGCTCCTCGCCCACCAAACACCTCCAATGAACAGCTTTAACCGCCTATCGACACTCTGTTCATCTAATTGCATTGATCTGCAAAGGTCTCCAAAAGCTAACTAATCGAAACAGATTTTATTTTCTGTCAATATTCGCAAAGGTCATCTCTCTTTACATCGTGGAATAGACTGGGTGCATAGAGAAGCATTTGGAAGGAGGGGGAAGGTAGAAGACCAACATACTGCCTGTTAAAGAGGATTGTCCAAGGTGAGCTTTAACTCGAGTTTGGTACTCGGCATTCAAGGCTTCTAATCCACCGTGTTATTAAAACCCACTGCCAAGGCAGCACACTGGAGACTCCAAAGGGCTTAGAGTATCCATTTCACACAAAGAGGCCAGTGTCACTGCTGCCGCGTTCCACGTCTCCTTTGACTTCATATCATCTCTTTTGTCATGGCGCCTGGATCAGTAACCTTCAGCTGCAGAAGCCAGGAGCGGGATCAAATTACCATTGAAAATCTTTTGTTCTGACAAATGAAACATCAGGATCCTCTTTCATCAATGTTCTTAAGGGCTTTTTATAAAAGCTGGCCTACATCCACATGGCACAAAGAATCTGAGAGAATGCCTGCAGGCTCTCTCTACCATGTACAGTAATTAACATGCCATTAACACATTAATACACATTAACTATTCCCAATGTTAATGGCAGAGTAATTACCATACCTGATACCACACTGTGGGGAAGCCAAAGCACATTTGCCACTTTGTGTTTCACTTTCTTTGTTGAGTGAGCTGAAAGGAATAATGCAGTGAGATGGCTCTGTCTGCTTTTCTTGCTGGAGAAAATAGTGGTGTCCGTGCACGAGTCTGGGTTGTTGGATTGCCTGTCCAATGCATATTGTAAGAAGTGCTTTCATACAAATAATCCAACTGTTCTGACTGCACTAAAAACAAAGGAAAGCTTTTGTTGTAAATCACAGAGAAAGACGGATATTTTGAGTGGACGATGAATCTTCCAGTGATTAAATGCTGAATAAAAGAAGGCACGGAGTGAGACCCAGGGAATCCCTGTCTGGAATGGTGATGTATTTCCTCCAAGTGCTGTGAGTGATAAGCTAATCAGCCACGCTGACAGTGAAGTGTTACAGCCCCCCAGTG